GTAAGCAGTCAGACTCTGTATGAGTCACTCAAAACGGGAAAGAAATCGGGAACTAGAAACTGGCCCACCCAGCAGGTGCTGCTGGGTTCATAGGACAAAGTTCAAAGTTACTCAGCAGTTAGAGCCATCCAAGACCAGCCCAATCTTTCTGTTTACGTTTCTTGGAGTGTTACTCCCTGCAAGACTGCACAGTTGGCACGTTCTACTTACTTAGTAAATTTAAGCGTGTGTGTTTATTCCCCAAGAGGAAACCACAGCAGAAATTGCTGTCAACCTTTTATTTTTTTAAAAAAAAAATAGTGTTGGAGAGATGGCTCAGTGGTTAAGAGCACTGACTGCTCTTCCAGAGGTCCTGGGTTCAATTCCCAGCACCTATGTGGCAACTCATAATTGTTTGTAACTCCAAGATCTGACACCCTCACACAGACATACATGCAGGCAAAATGCTGATGTACGTAAAATAAATAAATTATTTAAAAAAAAAACAAACCCAGGTGATAGTGGCACATGACTTTAATCCCAGCACTCAGAAGGCAAAGGCAGGCAGATCTCTGTGAGTTCTAGGCCAGCCTGGTCTACAAGAGCTGTAGGACAGGCTCCAAAGCTACAGAGAAACCCTGTCTTGGAAAACCAAAATACAAAAAATTTTAGAAGGATTTTTATTTGTGAGCATATGCTCATACATCTGTGTCTATGCAGCTGTGTGTGGGTCCGTGCAGGTACCCTGAGAAGCCAGACAAGGGGTTCAGATTTTTTAGAGCTGGGGTTACAGGCTTTTGTGAGCTGCCCAAAGAGATTGGTCTTTCTTCTGTTAAAGAATCGTTGATTAATTTTTGTATCTTATGAAATTAGTTTCTGTGCTTTTGCTGTTGTTTTGTTTTGTTTCTCGAGACAGGGTTTCACTGTGAGCCCTGGCTGTCCAGGAACTCACTCTGTAGACCAGGCTGGCCTTGAACTCTCAGAGATCCACTTGTTTCTGCCTCCTGAGTGCTGGGACTAAAGGCATGCGCCCTGAGTTTGTCTTGGAACTTTGCCAGTAAAGTTTTGCTAACCTAGTGGAGTGGTGTCTTAGTGTTCTGTGGCTATGAAGAGATACAGTGACCATGGCAACTCATATAAAAGAAAGCATTTAATTGGGGCCTTGCTTAGAGTTTCAGAGGCTTCTATTATCATGGCAGGGAGCATAGGGAGCTTGATCCTGATGAGCAAGGAGAGAGAGAGAGAGAGACTGGGCCTAACTGGTATGGGTTTTTGAAACATCAAAGTCCACCCCCAGTGTCACACTTCCTCCAACAACGCCACACATCCTAATCCATCTAATCTTTCAAATAGTTTCACACCCCAGTGACTAACTGTGTACTCAAATCTCTGAGCCTATGGGGCCATTCTTATTCAAACCACCACAGATAACGCGCACCTATTAGTACATCATCATCAGCCATCCCAGCACTTGGGAAGCAGGAAGATAGTGAGTTTGAGGCTACAATGCAGTGCCTTGCAAGCCCATGTTTATTTATTTATTTTAATTTTAAAATTTTTCCAAGACAGGGTTTCTCTCTGTAGCCCTGGCTGTTCTGGAACTCACCTTATAGACCAGGCTGGCCTCGAACTCATAGAGATCCACATACCTCTGCCTCCCAAGTGCTGGGATTAAAAGCGTTTGCCACCGCTGTACAGTTGCAAGCCTATCTTTTAAAAAAAGCTTCTTTTGTAAAATTAAATATACTTTTCATGAACTACATGAATATCATCAATGACTCCTATAGCAGAAGCTTTTCATTAACCCCTAATATGGTGTGTGTGCCTATGTATGTGTGGGGTCTGTCTACATGCTTTGTTCTGAAAAGAGAGGCCTGATGTGTAACTACAAACCAGATTTTTTTAAAATTAAGCTTGAGATCAAATACTACTTTGTTTGTTTTGTTTTTTGAGACAGAGTTGAAAGTTTAAGTTGCCAGGTTGGCCTCTAACTCACTATGTAGCCAAGGATGATACTGTATTTCCTCTACCACCTAAGCCTGGAATATAAGCACCATCATGTCAGGGTTAGTTCTAGTGACTGAATCCAAGTCCTCTTACCAGCTGGGCAGGCCCTCTGCTAAATGAGCTCCACCCACCCCTGTCTTCCTTGTCTGCCTGCAAGTGAGCTCTCTCTCCCTCTTTTCCTTTTCCCACCCCTTCTCCCCTCCTCCGTCCCCCCTCTCTCCACTCTCCCCTTCCACCTACCTTCTTGTTCATAAGTCTTGCTAGGCAGTCAAGGCTGTGTATGTATATATGAGTGTGGGTACATGCATGGAAGTCAGAAGACAACCTGCAGAAGTTGGTTCTCTCCAGCCAGCGGGACCCAGGGACCTAAATGAGGTCAGCCAGTTCAGCAGCAAGCACCTTTACCCACTGATCCGTCTCACTGCCCCTCCCACTTGTTTGTTTGTTTGTTTGTTTTGTTGTTGTTTTTTCCAAGACAGGGTTTCTCTGTAGCTTTGAAGTCTGTTCTGGAACTAGCTCTCATAGACCCGGCTGGCTTTGAACTCACAGAGATCCGCCTGCCTCTGCCTCCCGAGTGCTCGGATTAAAGGTGTGCGCCACCACTGCCTGGTGATTTTTTTTTTTTTGAGACAGTTTTTCTGTGTACCCATGGCTGACCTGGAATCTGCTCTTTATACCAGGCTGGCCTCGAACTCATAGAGATCTGCCTGCCTTGGTCTCCCAAGAGTTAGGATTAAAGGTGGTGCCACCACCACCAGACCCCAGCCTGTTTTGAACTGAAAAGTTGCCCTCTAACTTCCTTAGACCCTCATAAACAAGATTATAAACTTCGTTTACAACGCCTTGTGACACCCACAGTAAGGACTCTTCCCTTGCTGTGACTTACTATTTTGTCTTATCTCTGTTGTAATCCTGCCCAGCGCACTTCAGGATTACCCCATGCTCTGATTTACTAGAAATAATAGGTTCCTTTGAAACACTTTGAACAATCTAACTTCTGAAGCCACTAAAAACATACACTTGGCTATTGGTGACAGTAAGCCCAGGTCTCTCCTGAGACGCTCACACTCATGTCTTGGGTGTGTACTATTCTTTTCAAGACACCTTTCCCCGACTAACTAACGCCTGTGCTTAAAAGCTTTTTATCCTCTTCCTAAGATTTTTTTAAAGATCTTTATTTATGTATTTATTTATATACGTGATCTGTCCTCATGCACACCAGAAGGAATCTGATCCCATTACAGATGGTTGTGAGCCACCATGTTGTCACTGGGACCTGAACTCAGGACCTCTGGAAGAGCAGTCAAGTGCTCCTCACCACTGAGTCATCTCTCCAGTTCCAAGATTGACTTTTTTTTATGTGTATGTGTGGGTGCCTGAGTGTGTATATGTGCACCATGTGTTGACACAGGCCCAAGGAGGCCTGAAGACCCTTGAATCCCTAGAACTGGAGATACAGGTGGTTGTGAGCCCATGTGGGTGCTACAACTGAACTCTGGTTTTCTGCAAGAGCAGCAAGCGCTCTCAACCCGCGAACTTTCGAGGATGCTTCTTCCCATGATGTCTACAGAAGGGAATGGGTACCAAAACCACAATGTAAATGATGGGACAATGCTGAGTCCTAGGATAGCAGGAGCAGCCAAGCTGTGGCTGCAAGGATGCTCCACCACCAAGGCCCATTTCGACCATCAGGGGACACAGGTCCCAGGAAGTGGCTGTAACTTCCTTGATTTTCTCAACCTCCCCTCTGGAATGGTCTTCCTGAAGTAGGTGGGGGCTTTTTTAGAAGGTGTTTTTACACCCAGTTCCGTCTATCACAATTCCAGGTCTTAGGAGAGGATGGGAAGAAAGGATGCAAGTGCCTTGGGCATTTGCGCATGTTGTGGGGCTTCCCCGGGTTGTGGGGCTTCCCCAAGCCGCTGGAGTTGCCAAGACACAGCCTTGTTTTTCCCCTACTCCGCACCCTGTCCTTCTTCTTATCAGCTTGGCTGCCTCACACTCTCCTCCCAGTTCCCAGACGTAGTTAAGGCTAACTTCAAACTTCATTTTCACATACGCTTATTTCCACCACAACACAATCTCGGCCAGGAGTCTCTCCACTAGACCACCAAAAACTTTCAAATTGTTCCCAGCATTTGGGAGGGGGAAGCAGGAGGATCAGGTATTTAAGGTCACTCTCGGCTTCACGGTGCATCAAGCCTGGATTAAATGAAATTCTGTTGCCAACAGAAACAGTCGGGACTGTGGGGCTGGAGAGCTAGCTCGGCGATTGGGCTTCCGCCTCCTCTCCCCTGCATCTGGTTAGTGGGGCTCATAGACACCCCAGACCTCTTCTAGACTTCAAGGGGGGCACCTGCACTCACAGGGCACATTCCCATACTCACACGCATGCCTTGCCTCGACTGAATTGCCATTCTGACTTTCATCTGAATGACAGACGAAGTGCCATCTACGAAGAGTCTCTAACTGACATTGTGGGTGTTCCAGGGCAAGCGCTGAAGCAAATGGAAGATGAGGTAATTTGTTAAAAGGGTGTGTGTGTGTGTGTTAGCAGGGCAGTGGTGGCGCACACCTTTAATTTTAGCACTCAGGAGGCAGAGGCAGACAGAACTCAGTGAGTTTGAGGCCAGCCTGGTCTATAAAGCGAGTTCCAGGACATTCAGGACTGTTACACAGAGAAACCCTGTCTTGAGAAACAATAACAACAAGAAAGAATATGTGTTGTGTGTGACAGGCTGCCCAGCAGGACTTATTCAAAGCTTGCAGGTCCCATCACCTCTGTCCCAGTAGCAACTGCTGTCCTGCACGCAGTGGCCAGGTCAGCCACCAAGAGTTAGATGTGGCACCCCAAGTTAAGGGACACAGTCCCCCACTGTAGTGCCTGGCCTCAGACACCAGCATCACTTTGGTGGCCTCAGGCTACACACAATGTTGACTAACTGTAATTCCTGGGAGTGGCTGTGACCTGCCTACCATTTGTCATTTGCTAGAATTCACAGAAGGCAGGACAGTCCTGTATTTATGATTTTAACTTTATTAAAATGAAAAGAATCAGGAAAAGTAACATAGAAACACAAACAGGGCAAGGTCTGGAGGGGTCTGGAGCACAGAGCTTCCTTGCCCGGCCACCCTAGGACAAGAGTGCATCAGCCTGAATGAAGCACAGCCATGTATGTGCCCATCTGCAGAGAAGATGCACTAGGTCTCCACCAGGGCAGGATTCCCAGAGGTCTCAGAGTCACCTCAATCCCCAGTTCTCTCTTCTCCCCCAGAGGGGTCCTTCAAGCTCAATGCCTCAACCCTCTAATCAAGCTGGTCTTTATATTGGCCAGTTGCCACCCTTGGCCATCTCCCACCAGGGAGACAAATAACAATGACAGTCCATCCTCTCAGGAAATTCCAAGGACTTAACACCCCCCCACCACATGCCCCCAAACCAGGGACAAAGGCCAGCCAAATCCTTTAATAGCCACCATTTCCTGAGACACCCATTCCTCTGTAGAAAAGATCATGAATGGGGTCCATCTTCTGGTCTGGCCTGTTTTCCATTTCGCTATTGAACTTTTCACGATAGAAATGTTCGAGCCTATGCAACAACAGTAGGAAGAATAAGAAAACAGGCCCCGGGTTCCCATCTCTCCTTGTTGGTTACTCAAACGGGGCTTACTTTTCAACAATGTTCCACGTTGGCATTATCTTTTGAAGCTAAGCCCCCACACCCTCTCTCTGAGTATTACTTCCCCAAAGTTCCCTGCAATCGCCGCTACACTACGGTAGGCTTCAAGGGATCTGGAGTGGAGCCTGAGCACCCAGAGGCGCTGGGCAGTAGCTTTCAGGGGGTGGGCACATCATCAGCAGATTTCAGATTAAGGGACAATTTCTCCCCCCCCCCCACCTCAATCCCCAAGGGACACAGAATTCTACTTCACTGCATTCAGAGTGAGGACCGGCCAGCCTTGCCCTGTTTATGATGATTATCTTGGTAATGAGTCGCCTCTAAAGCACTACGTTCAAGAAGTCATCAGCTAAAACATTAGTAATTCACTAAAATCAATAGAGAGGTAAATGATGTAAAAGATAACCCCAGTATTAGTAACAGATTGAAAATCAATCTCCAAGTAATTAAAAAGACTAGTCAGCCAGTCCTGAATAATACAAAGACTGGACCTTTAGTTTATCATGCCGGAGAGGATTTTACATCAACGTTTCTGGCAAGTTCTGTATGTCTAAAGGACCCTGGGGTTTTCCTGTCACCCATGTTAGGCATCTCTGCCATGTTGGAATGACAAGAGCGGTGACCAGAGCCATCCATCCTCCACCTTCCCACCTGCCCGATTCTGCACAAGGAGGGGTGAGATGAATACACAGCTTCTGTCCATTCCAGGACCCTGTGGTACAGGATGAAAGAAACGGCTGTGGTGAAGGGGAGGTCTTACCATTGCAAACAGAAAGGTACCAGACAGCAAGGGTACACTCCTCCACTTACAACTCCAAAGCACCTCGAACAGCTCTGGGCTTTGGTGGCCTGCTTGACTCTCATAAACAGAGGGACACATGTCCCAGGCCTGAGCTGCACATTGCCTGGGAAGAGTCTTGACTGCTGGTCTCATTTCTGCATTAGAGCCCAAGCAGGACCCCTCAGTGAACCTTGGCATTCTCCTTCTCTAAACCTAAATGTTTCCCAAGTCTGACTTGGTTGCAAACAGGTTTTGTTTCGGAAGATTGGCGAAGATGCCTTTAGACATCTTCAAATTCAGAGAAGAATCACCAAGAATTTGTGTAGCAAAGGAAAAAAAAACTTTTCAAAGGCCACATATCATCTGCAGGGACATGGTCTCTGCAAAGACACTCCCAGGGAACAGAACATTCCTCTGGGAGAGGACACAGGTCACACATCTGTCAGGAATGCCAATGCTGAGAGCTCTGGAATTCCATTACTAGATCTGAGATGTGCTATGTTCTCAAGTATCCATCCATATGAAAAGTCTAGGGGCCCCACCTTCCCCATAGTGACCTTTCTTCATAGGAAGGCTTACAAAAGGGAGCTCCCCACATAGGAAAGAGAGCTAGACTCCTGTCACAAGAGTCCAAATCCTCACAGGTTCTGGATTTGACGTCAGTACAGAAGAAGGGAGGGGAGATTTCGGTCATCCATCCCTGCCCTTTAGTGGCCTGGGCTATTTTCATTGCATGAAAGACCGCAGAGAAAACAGCCACTGGCTGGACCCTCCTTTTTTTTTTTTTTTCTTTCTTTCTTATCTTAAAAAGGTCTTCCTAACCTACAGTTTGGTCTATATGAGCATCTGGAATTGGCTCAAATGAGAAAGACAGCAGAATGGTCCAGGTTAGGTGATGAGTCTTGGACTCAGCACTGGGCCTGCAGTATGTGGCTAAGGGAAAAACAGGAAAATGGCTGTCTCTCACTGGTCCTCAGGCCACTGAGTCACCTCAGTGGGTGATCTCGCATGGCTCCTGAAGCAACCACATGAAGCCCATCTGCATGATGGTAGGGTATAGGAATGAGGTGTGGCTGGCCACTTAACAAAGGGTGACATGTATAGCCACAGTCCAGTATCTACAATCTGGAGGAAGGGGACATTACTGCTGAAGACAGCAATCAAGGCAAGACATGAGTAAGAGCAAAGCCAGCAGGGTCCCGTGAATCCAGCCAGGGTTCTTCTGCTCCCCAACCCCCACTCTCAGCACAGGCTATGGGAAGAAAGGCCTCCAGCTCTATGGCCACAGTCAACATGTCCCTGGTGAGATGCCCTTGGAGAGAGAGAGATTCCATCTCAACCAGATCAGAGTTCATGGACACAAGCTGATACAGATCAGAGTTTGAAGCCTCACCTACAAAAGATTCCCGGGAGGAAGAGATATATGGAAACTCAGAGTAGGGATTAGGCTCAGTAGTAAAGCATGTGATACATGCTGATCCCCAAAACTGGATGTTTGCATGTTTTTTTCTTTGTTTTTTAAGACAGGGTCGCACTATGTAGCTTCAGCTGTCCTGAAACTCGCTATGTAGACCAAGCTGGTCTCAAACTAATAAAGATCCACCTGTCTCTGCTTCCCAAATGCTGGAACTAGAAGCTAGACCACTACACCTGGCCTTTTTCTTTTTTTTTTTTTTTTTAAATCTAGGGCATAATCAAAACACGAGGGTCTGAAGACTAACCCAAAGAGTGGACATCCATCACCTGAAAGAAAACATGGCTACAGACTTTCTGCTAGACAACAGGAGTTGCCAGGCGGTGGTGGCGCACACCTTTAATCCCAGCACGCGGGAGGCAGAGGCAGGCGGATCTCTGTGAGTTCGAGACCAGCCTGGTCTACAAGAGCTAGTTCCAGGACAGGCTCTAAAGCTACAGAGAAACCCTGTCTTGGGGGAAAAAAAAAAAGAAAGAAAAAGACAACAGGAACACTAACGATTTTACTCTCTGCAGCTCTGCCCAAGTAGCTAGCAGCCTGAGAGATTTCCCAGAACACCGGGAGGGGGTCACCCTGTCCTCAGGGGCACCGGGAGGTAGATATGCTTCCCCACCCACAAGACAATCACCCCACCCCCTTTCTGAACCAAATCTCCCCATCTTATTCTCTCTGCCTCTTCCCCAGGTCCCCGCCAAATCGCCTATCCGTCAGGGACTCGGAAGTTCTCCTGGGAGGATCCCTTCTACGGTGTTTTAACCAGTCTTGGATGTTCCTCGGCAAGCCCAAGTGTCTGAGGCTGGCCTAGCGGCTTGCCTACTTGGAAGAACAAATGGAAAGCTTGGTGCCCGCAGAGAAGACCCAGAAGGCCGGGTACAGGGCTTCGGTAAAGTCCACCTTGTACTTGTACATCAGGTGGACCTTCTCAGTGACAGCAAAGAAAATGACAAAGCCGTGGTCGCAGTTGAGAAGCACGCCGACCCGCGTGGCCTTGGTGGAGGGCAGCGTTTTCTCCACGTTGTTGTGCCAAGCCGAGATCTTGTTATTGAACCACTCCACACACCACGAGTGGGCGTTGCGGCCCAGCCGGCTCTCGGGGCCCTGCCGCTCCATGCTGCCGTAGCAGACGCCTACCCCGCAGAAGTTGTTCTTCTGCAGCTCCACCTCCCAGTAGTGGATGCCTTTCTTGTAGCAGTGCAGCCCCAGGACCTGAGAACAGTAGGTGAACCTCTGGGGATGGGTGCGGTACTGCTGAAGACCCTCGGCCACAGAAGCGGTGGTGTAGTTGTCGGTCAGAGTCACCTTGTTGTGGGCAGTGTTGTAGTCGAAGATGACTTTCACGGCATCTGAGAAAACATCCCCCAGGGAATTCATGGCAGGAGGCCCAAAGACCTTTCACCTTTAGAGCTTTCTCTGTAGCTATTTCACCCATCCACCTATTGAACTACCCATCCACATATCCACTTACCCATCCATCTAGTCACAAGTCTCCCCCCCACCCATCCATCCAACTAACCATCCACCTTACCCATCTACCCACTCACACACACGCCTATCCAGCTATCCACCTACCCATCCACTTACACCTATCCATCTACCCAACCACCCATCCATCCAACTGACCATTCATCTCTCCAAACACCCACTCAAATACACACATCATCTATCAACCCATTCAACTAGCTGCTCGCTGGTGCTTTGACCACCCACTCCTCTGTCTGTTCATCCATCTACCTACCCATCATCTACCTGCCCAACCATCCATCTACCCGCTTATGCACGCATCCGGACGCCCACCCACTCTTGCATCCATCCATCTAGCCAAGCTACTCACACTCCAGAAGCTGGGCTCTGGACTTGGCTAAGAAGTTTTCTAGCATCTTGGCTTTGAGCGCAGTCAAGTTTGGCTGTGGGGTGTTGGGTTTGGGCGTGGCTAGAAGAGGAAACAGAGAGTGGTATTCAAGACAAGCTCAGGACAAATGGCAGAGGCCTCCTTGGTGCTAGGGCACAACTCACCATCAGGGATAGTTGTTTTAAAGTCCATTGACTGCCCAGGAGCTCCAAAGGTGGGCGTGTTGGATGAGGGAGAGCTGGGAGTGGGTCCAGGAGCAGTAGCTGAGAGGTGAGGGGAGACAGACGTGAAACAGCAGTATGACACAGAGGCCAGATGACCTCTCCTCCCTTCTAAGGTGGCTGTCAACTTCCACCAACCGCCTGACCAGTCAGGGCCGCACAAGTGAGTCCAGATAAGGCTCTTTATCTGTCTTACTCAGTTACGCTGGGCCTCCTTTCCCTGCTCAGGCCTGCCTGCCTTCACAGCGGACATTTGGAAGGACAGGGCCATTGCAGAGCCTTTGTTAAAGCAGGTCAACGGTTGCTCTCAGTGTTAGCTCTAGGCTCAAACAAGTCATGAGAAAAAGATAAACAAATGCACAACTTACGGGGTTTCTTGGTCTTCTTTTCCTCTAAAAGAAAGAAAGAAAGATTTTAGGATTAAGAAATTTTAAAGCACACTGCTATACATAAAAGACCATATAACATTCATCAGCACACACTTGCCACATGTAAGCTAAGGAAGGCTGGCCTAACTTCAAATATAAGGGAGTGGCTGGCAACACACATCTACAAGGACAGGAACCCCACCAGGGACATGGGGGTATAGACTGACTAGGAGGAGATGGGAATTTTCTAGGAAGCATTTATGTTGATTTGGGTAATGGTAAGATGGGACCCATTTGTCAAACATGTATTTAACTGTACATTTAGGGTCTATGCATTTTTACTACCAAAAGAAAGCAAGCAAAAAAAGAGGAAGTCAGGGGAAAAAAAATAGTCTTGGTTAAGTATTACCACAGTGCTTAAAAAACACCTGCCTTCCCTAGGGTTCTTCCGAGCACGCTCAGTCGCTAGGTGTTCTGGTCCACAGAGAGACCGAGGTTCAGCAGTGGTTTGCAGGAGACAACTTACACATTATAAACAAGCAGCAAGCAGTAAAGTTCACCCACGTTCCTCTTGCACCCCCTAACACCACTAACAGCAGGGCACCTCCATGCCTTCTCACACTGACCCTGGGGAAGCAGTCCCAGCTTGCTTGCTTGAGGGTTATAAAGAGTTCTCATGTACAATAAAAGAACTTCTGGAGGCATCACAATTTCTGACTTCAAACTCTGCTACAGAGCTACAGTACTGAAAACAGCCTGGTACTGGCATAAGAACAGACAGGAGGACCAATGGAACTGAATAGAAGACCTGGATATTAATCCACACAACTTCGAACACCTGATCTTTGATAAAGAAGCAAAAAATATTAACTGGAAAAAAGAAATCATATTTAACAAGTGGTGCTGGCATAACTGGATATCAACATGTATAAAAATGAAAATAGACCCATATCTATCACCATACACAAAACTCAAGTCCAAATGGATCAAAGACCTCAACATGTGTTCAAGTGGCACAGGGAACCACTTTCTAAATATAACCCCCAGCAGCCAGACACTGAGAGAAACAAATAATAAATGGGACCTCCTGAAACTGAAAAGCTTCTGTAAAGCAAAGGACACGGCCAACAAGACAAAACGACAGCCTACAGAATGGGAAAAGATCTTCACTAACCCCACATCAGACAGAGGCCTGATCTCCAAAATATACAAAGAACTCAAGAAATTGGACACCAAAAGATCACATTATCCAATAAAAAAAAATGGAGTACAGACTAAAACATAGAACTCTCAACAGAGGAACCTAAAATGGTTGAAAGATACTTTAGGAAATGTTCAACATCCTTAGTCATCAGAGAAATGCAAATCTAAACAACTCTGAGATACCAGCTTATACCTTTAAGAATGGCCAAGATCAAAAACACTGATGACAACTTATGCTGAAGAGGTTGTGGGGAAAAGGGAACACTTCTGCATTGCTGGTGGGAATGCAAGCTGGTACAGCCCTTTTGGATGTCAGTATGGTGATTTCTCAGAAAATTGGGAAACAACCTTCCTCAAGACCCAGTAATACCACTTTTGGGTATATATCCAAAGGATGCTCAATCGTGCCACAAGGACACGTGCTCAACTATATTCATAGCAGTTTTGTTTGTCATAGCCAGAACGTGGAAACAACCTATGCGCCCCTTGATTGAAGAATGGATAAGGAAAATGTGGTATATTTACACAATGGAGTACTACACAGCAGAAAAAAATAACAACATCTTTAATTTTGTAGGCAAATGGATGGAGCTAGAAAACATTATTTTGAGTGAGGTAACCCAGACACAGAAAGACAAATATCACATGTACTCACTCATAGGTGGTTTTTAAACATAAAGCAAAGAAAGCCAGCCTACAAATCACAATCCCAGAGAACCTAGACAACAATGAGGACCCTAAGAGACACTTACATAGATCTGATCTATATGGGAAGTAGAAAGTAGAAAAAGACAAGATCTCCTGAGTAAATTGGGAGCATGGGGTTGGGGGAGGATTGAAACCAGAAGGGGAGAGGCAGGGAGGGGAGCAGTGAAAAATGTAGCGCTCAATAAATATCAATAAAAAAATGTAAAAAAAAAAAAGAGTTCTCACAAGCAGTGTGTCCCACGGGAACCTCGCTTGCCTTCATTCCACGGGCCAATTGTTATAATTTTTCCAAAGTGAGGGACCATACTATACTAGGTCCATCCTATTCTTCCCCAGCCCCATATCCACATTCCCATTGACAGTGACGCCATCCCTGATGAGGGGAAGGGAACAGGGGTAAAATCTAATGCTTGAAGTATGGGGTGGAAAAAGTGTTCTTTTGCCAGGTGGTGGTGGCGCACGCCTTTAATCCCAGCACTTGGAAGGCAGAGGCAGGCAGAGACAGGCAGAGACAGGCAGAGGTCTGTGAGCTGAAGCTCAGCCTGGCCTACAAAGCGAGTTCTAGGACAGCCAGGACTATAGAGACACTCTGTCTTGAAACAAACAAACAGTGCTCTTTCTTTTTTTCCTTCCTTCCTTTTTTTTTCTTTCTTTCTTTCTTTTTCCTTTATAGAGACAGGGTCTCTCGACAGAGCCCTGGCTGCCCTAGAACTCACTACATAGACCAGATAGGCCTCAAACTCACAGATGCTGGGATTAAAAGCATGTACCATCATGCCCTGCTTGCTGTTTACTCTTTTTATAAATCAACAAATATACTGTACACGTGTAGATTCAAATTCCCACTGGTAGGAACAATTAGGAAAACATTTTCTGTTTTTCTTTTTTTTGGGGGGGGGGGCGGGTAGAGACTTTGGAGCCTGTCCTGGAACTAGCTCTTGTAGACCAGGCTGGTCTTGAACTCACAGAGATCCGCCTGACTCTGGGATTAAGGGTGTGTGCCACTGCCACCCGGCAATTAGGAAAACATTTTCTTTGGCTCAGTAGAAGAGGTCAATAGGGGAAAATAGTGAGAAACACGAGACTGGGGAGATGGCTCAGCAGGGAAAGCACTGGCCACGCAAGCATGAGGACCCGAGTTCAGATCTTCAGACCCCAGACAGTGCTCGATGGGGTAGCATGCATCTGAAATCCCAGCATTCTTACAGCAAGATGGACACAGGGGAATCCGAGAAGTGTTCAGGCCAGTGAGCCTGGCTTAGGCCATGGCAAACAGGAGATCCTGTCTCAAACAAGGTGGAAGGTAATGACTGACACCCAACGTTGAATTCTGACTTTCACATATGCACGATGTGTCCACACTCCCACACACAAACTTGAACACATACACACACACACTGAAAGACAGGAAAGATTTTTAAAAAAAAAAAAAAAAAAGAGGGAGAAACAACACACACAACGTCATTGTGCATTAAAGCCGGTTGGGTAGAGAGCACACTTATTGGTTGCGCTCGGAGTATATCAAATAGTTCTTAAACACATGGCAGCTTTGGTGACCACTATCCCACACAGTCAACTGTAAACAGAAAAGTCAGATTCCCTGTCCCAGTGGAGTGAATGCCTGACCCTGTGCCGCAGTAGCTGACGGGATGGTCTCATCTGTCAGCCATAGTCACACTGACACCAGAGAGATGAGAGGAGGCTACTTACGTTGGGGCTTCTTCACAGGGCGTGTAGGCTTGGATGTGGACTCCGGACCATGACCTCCCACGCCACCTGTGCCAGAGAAAAGGGAATGGCTGTATGTAGTTCCTCCCCACCAACTCCCAGAGCTGGGTTTGTCAAGGCTGTGGGCAGAACATTCACACAGACACACAGCTCGCCCACTGACCCAGCCATTTAGTTGCAAGAGACAGAAATTAAATGCTAAGAGGACCAATTTGTTTGTTCCTTCTCTCTTCGGCTTAAAAGGCAGCTGGGGGGAAGTCTCCTCTGCAGCACCCAATTCCGGGACTTCTCTGAGATTTGGTTTCTTTGGCCATCCATCAAAGATTCCAACTTGATGATGGCTGATGGTACCCCTGAATGAGGTCAAGGTGTCTGGTGTGGAGTGGAGACTAGGCCAATGTCAGTTTCTTGCCCACTGGCTCTTTCTTCCCTCCTTCAGCAGGCTAGTCACTCACAGATTTACCCCCTGTGAAGTACTTCTAGAACTTTCCACAAAGGTGCCTCCTTGTCCCTGTTTCAGAAGCCCTTCTGCAAGGACCCTGGGCTGGCCACATGAAATTCAAGGCCATCGCCTGTCATTCAACAGGGATTTTACAAGAGAGTCAGGCTCTCTGCGCAACACCACGGGACAGCTTTTTAACAACAGAACACAGTTCCAACCTTCACAGAGATCCCCACCTCTGAGGATGCTGGACAGGAATCTCCAGGAGCAAGAAAATGGCACCTACGTAAAGGATTCCAGAGGAAATGAATCCTGCTCTAAGGAGTGGAAATGGAGCTGGTAGGATGATGGCTCTGTGGGTAAAGGAGTTTGCCACCAAACCTGAGTTCCATCCCCGGGACCCACACGGTGGGAGGAGAGAACTGACTCCCACAAGTTGTCCTCTGATCTCAACGCCCGTGTCATAGTGCACATGTCCACATACGTACACATACAAAATGCATACGCATACAATATGCATGCAAACAAAATAAATAAATGTGTTGTCTTTTCAAAGGAGCGAGAATGTTGGTTCTGGAACCTGGCAGAGAAATGTAATGGCTCAATGATTTCCACACAGTGAGAAGGAAGCCCAGTGTGAGGGTGAATGTTACGTCATCAGCTTGACAGAGTCTAGAATCAACTGGGAGGCGGCCCTTTGAGCACGCCTGCGGAGGGTTATCAAGATTGCATTAGCTGAGGTGGGAAGACCCGTACTGACTGGGATGCTGGACTGTTTCAAAAGGAGAAATCAAGGTGAGCACTAATATGCAAACAATTCATTGCTCTTCTGACTGCAAATGTCACGTGACCGGCTGCTTCACACTGTGCGGCCTTGATATCCTGCCCCAGGGACTGTGGTGTGGGCTGGGAGCTAAAATAAACCCTTTCTCTCTTTAGTTGCTTCTGTCCGGATATTTGATCACAGCTACAGGAAAGAAACACAGATGCCTAACAAAACTAAAATGCCTAATGGTAGATTCCTTTAACCCCAGTTACTTAGCAGCCTGAGGCAGGAGGATTGCAAACTTAAGGCCAGCCTAGGCAATTTAAAAGATCCTTCCTCGAAGCCAGGCATACATCTTTAATCCCAGAATTTGGAAGGCAGTGGCAGGGGGATTTCTGTGAGTTCTAGGTCAGCTTTGTCTACATAGCAAGTTCCAAGACAGGCTGAGTCACATGAGAGAGAGAGAGAGACCCTATTTCAAAAAAAGATCCTGCCTCAAAATAAAAATGTTCAAAATGGCCATGGGTATAGATAGCACTTGTCTAGTGCATGAAGGCAGGTTGTCAGTACAGCAAAGCCAAACAATACAATAAAACAGCAGAAAGGAATTAGCTGGTGAAGAATGTGATGCCCCCAGCCAAGTGTGTTGGGAGGATATATACAAAGGTCTTGTGGCAGGAAGCATGGCACTGAGAGATAGACTGTAGAGAGATGTGTGAGGGCTTGGGGGACAGTATCTAATCTGTCCTGACGGTCAAGGTCTGGTCTGTCACTTTAGGACAATGGAAAGCCCCCGAGGGGGTTAGGAGGAAAACAAGGTGAAAAATCCAGGTATTTTCCTGCTATTGCCAGGAAGGATTTTTCTTGGCAATAGCAGCAGATGCAGGGGGACTTTGGAGGAAGCTCACATGGTCACGGAGCACAAGTGATAGCCTCAGATAGCAGGCAGGTGATGTCTGTACAGGACTTGGGGGCAGAGGCAGAAGAGGAAAAAAAAATTGGTAGTTAGGTGTGGTGGTATACACCTGTAATCCCAGTACTTGGGAGGTGGCCAGACGGTCTGGGCCAATGGAGAGATCTTGCTTCAAACAACCAAGGATTGGGTATACAGGTCGGTGGTGGAGGACTTGCCTGGCACACACTGGGATGGGTCCCCAGAACTGGGTGGTACCAGTGGGGTGGGCATGTGTAAAGCAGCAAAACACGATGGTGGCTGAGGGTGTGTGTGCCATCTCAGGGACAGGTGTGCCAAGGAGGAACGTGAGGTTTCTCTGATCCTGGAGCTAGCCATCTGTCCCTGTCCAAACACACTGGCTATCCAGGGTCACTCAAAACCCATCCAAGTTGGTCTCCAGAGTCCATCAGACCACCAAGCCTTAAAGCTCTTTTTGGAAGGAGAGCTGTGACGTCAGGACAAAGCAGAGACACATCCAATGGAGAACGCAGTTTCAAGACCCCTGAAATTCAAGCCCCCGTGTGTTGGGTCACTGTTATTACCTGGGCCAACGGACTCCTCAGCCTTCTCCTGGGGCTGCTTGAGGGAGCGCTTCAGCTCATTCTTGAGGTCCATGGCGCCCTGGTAGACCCCCTTTATCAACTCGTGGTCTAGGTCAATCTTGGGGATGTAGACTGGTTTCGTTGACAATTCTTGCAACTTTGCAGCTTTCTGGAACAAGTCAAGGTGTTAAGGATGGGCAATTCAAGGGAAGCCAGGGCCTGGGCTCCACCCTCATCAATCCCACAAGATGTTTCCTATGACAACAATGAGCCCCTGCCTGCTTCAATCACAAGCCCGAGGTCACCAGCAATTGAAGTGTCTTCTAAAGAACTGGAGACGGGGGGCTGGAGAGATGGCTCAGTGGTTAAGAACACCAACTGCTCTTCCAGAGGTTCTGAGTTCAATTCCCAGGAACCACACGGTGGCTCACAACCATTTCTAATCGGACCTGATGCCCTCTTCCGGTATGCAGGCATACATGCAGATAGAGTACTCATACAATAAAAATAAAATAACAAACAACTGGAGTCAGAAGGACCTCAGAGGTCACTTGGCTTACAAAGCAGGTAAAGAGGTCACATGGCAAGTGACTTGCATAGAAACTATGCCAACGAGAGTCTCTGGAGCTCCTCCTTTCCTCCCAAGAGATACAGGACACTCCAACCCAATAAAGCTCTAATCAGACGGTCAGGAATGTCTGATGGCAAACAAGGTTGATCTAGGACATCTTCTATGGGACGGGGGTCGGGATGGGAATGTCACTGAACTTAAAAAGTTATCTCACTAACTTGAGTCCTCTGGAATGAAGGGGACTCAGACAAGGACTTTGAATCCTTTCCAGTTCTTAGGTACAGGAATGAGCTCCCAGGGGCAGGAGGAAACCTTCACCAGGGCACCAGCAGGTATCACGCCCAGAGGAAGTTCCATCACTTCTGTACTGAGCAGGGAATCTGGGTCCTTGGGGGACCAAACTGAAAGACTCTAAATGCGTTTCTGAGGCCTCTCAGCTCTAAAGACATTTTCTGAAACCTCTTATCCTTTGGAAACAGGACAGTCACCCCCCCACACACACGCTGGACTGCTCATCCTCCTGTGTCCTTGTGAATAATCTTCAAACATAACTCCATTCTGGGAATTGAGGCAAAGACAACCCACAGATGTTGACTCAGTTCCTGATGTATTGATTTAGTCACTAGAACAAGGTCAGGATGGCCCATAGATGCTCCCTTTATCTCACCTGACCACGTAGCTATTCTCCTGCCCTGAAATAGACCAATCACTGCTAGTGACCCTTTGAATAAGCCAATCCAATAAGTTGGAAAACAACCTTCAGGTTCCCCCCACTTGTGTCTGTGGCTTTTTGCTTTAAAAGATGGGCTGTAACAGCTATCAGATGTCCTTCATATCCTGAACCTGAAGGGCCCTGTCATGACAGAATAAAAATCCTCTTGCTTTTGCATCAATTGTGGTTGTGTGAGTGGTGTCTGGAGCAACTCCTCCCTGATGTTTGGACTTGCACTCCAACAAAACCAGGTGGATCACAGATCTAGGTCCTGCACTGTCTAAGTGAGGGGGAAGGGGGAAGTGACAAGATGTGGCTTACAGCCAAAGGGTATACAAAAACAAGCACATCTGAAATGACATCATTAGCGCTGTGACGGAGTGGGACATTACGCTGCAGCACTAATAATGTGTAACACCGGGACCCAAGAGGGTGGACCCTGGAAAAAGGACATAATCCACTGGGCAGGAGGCCAACATGGTGTTTACACTCAGCAGGAATGGAGAGTACAGAGCCTGTCGGGACAGCAAGGACCTCACTCATGGACCACACTAAGAAGCATAGGGCCAGACAGAGCAGGAAGACAGTGCTTCAGAAAGACATTTTCAGGGACCACGTGAGGGAGGACTAAGATGGTCCCAAGAGTCTCCTCTTACACACAGACCCTACATCTCCGTCTCCTTGAGCACAGGGCAGATGCACAGGAAAAGATGCTGCTGCCCCAACAAACTTACAAGGGACAGAGGAGGTACGCCACCGGGACACTGAAGACATCAAACAAGCTGAGAGAATTAACTAAGGGCGATTATTCTGCGTGGGCCAGGATACTTAATTGGGTAAAAGACCTTACTAGAGGAACTCGGGCCTTCCTAGAGGGCAGCACACGCTGCCAAGTCGAAAGAAAGCCTCAGCAGGCAGCCAGCAAGAGAGTGTACACTTGACCTATAGCCCCAAGGAACTCAAATTCCGAGAGCAGCCAGGCGCACTTGGAAAACAACCCTGTGCTCCAAAATCAATACAGCCTCGCCTGCAGCTGGACTGCAGATGCCAACCATGGGGAAGCCACGCCCAGATGCTGAGCCAAGGGACCCATGAGATAATAATCAGCCATTCTCTGAAGCCCCTCAGGTCTGGGGAGCTGCTGCAGAGCACAGAAACAGAGCATGTCTCCGAGACACTTCCAGCCCCAACTCCGTGAAGTCCAGACGGCTATCAGGTCTGGGACGCTAACAAGCACGACAGCAGCCTCGGCCCGACTCACCTCCAGAAACTCAAACTCGTCCCCTTTGGCCAGGGTGAGCTCAACCTCTGCCTTCAGGTCATGCATCTCATTCTTCTTCTTGACAAGAACCTGGTAGATGGTTTCCAGCTTTCCGAAGACCCTCTTCTCCTCCTCCTTCAGCTTCCGTGTGGAGCCGGTCTCTGCCGAATCAATGACAGCCTTCATCTCCGTATATTCTTGTCTCAGTTGTTCCAGCTTCCTACTCATAGAGTCCTACAAGGCCAAGGTGAAGGGGTTCCAGTCAGACTGGTGGAGATGCTAAGGCTGCACCCCTGGGTGTCCGGGAGAGGGGAGCAAGCACCAGGAACTGCATGACCCTTCATGGTACTTGGCAATGTCCCGTCCACCAGGACCCAGCAACCCCAATACCTAGGACAATACTCTTAATCACCTACCCCCGAAGCACATATAAGGACGTTCACAAGCGCCGGGTGGTAATAGCGCATGCATGCCTTTAATCCCAGCACTCCGGGAGGCAGAGTGGATCTCTGAGTTTGAGGGCAGCCTGGTCTACAGAGTGAGTTCCAGGATGGTCAGGGCTTCACAAAGAAACCCAGTCTCGAAGAACAAAACAAATATTAACAAGAAAATCCAGGTGTGGCGACTCACAAACATAATCCCAGCACTTGGGAGGCTGACACAGGAAAGACCAGGAGTTCAAGGTCATCCTTGGCTGCTTGGCCCTCCTTGAGGCCAGCTTGGGCTACATGTGACCCTCACTCATCTCCAGACTGGGGTGGGAAGGAGGAGAGACAACTGTTCACAAGCAACACTGTTTGACACAGCAAAAGTGAATGGGTCACAGTGGCACATGTTTATTGTCCCAGTTCTTCTGGGGACTGAGGCGGGGGGGGGGGCGCTTGAGCTCAGGTGTTTGTGTCTAGGCTACAGAGTAAGACTGTCTGGGGGTGGGGAACCTGAACATAGGAGAGACGATGCAAAGACTGAGAAGTGACCATAGACGGGACCATTAAACAATAAACGAGAGGCCCGTGTGGATCCATCTCCACCAGGGAAAAACACAGAAGCAGAAGCAGCAGTATGATTCTGTTCACACAAAGCTCAGACATTAACGAAAGGGTGGTGTTTGCTATTAAGGAAGGCACACACATACAGACATGCATAAATACATAAACACGGGGGAACGAATCAACAATTCAAGATGGTGACTACACCTTGGAACTGGCTAGGGTATAAATATAAGGTAGGAACAGTGGTGGAAATACACTGCAGATATTACCTTTTTTTATTTTTTATTTTTTGAGGCAGGGTTTGTCTGCATAGCCCTGACTGTCCTGGAACTTACTATGTAGACCAAGCTGGCCTCGAACTCAGAGATCCATCTGCCTCTGCCTCCCAAGTGCTGAGATCAAAGGTGTGCACCACCACTGCCAGGCTGGGATATTAATTTCTTAAGGCAGAGGCAGTTCCTAGTAAATTTTTAAAAGAAGACATGAAACAATTTCAAAAGGTTCCTAAAGATGGTCTTTCCCTAGAACTCTCCTTTTGAGTGTTACATGTGGCTTCTGAGCTTTGGAAATGTGCCAAGAGGAAATGTGTCATGACTCATGAGTAGACACTAGATGTCAAAAACTCGATACCACCAGGTGATGGTGGTACACGCTTTTAGACCCAGAACTTGGGAGGCAAAGGCAGGTGGGCTCTCTATGAGTTCAAGACCAGCATGGTTTACAAAGCAAGTTTCAGGACAGCTGAGGCTATTATACAGGCTATTATAACCCTATCTCAAAAAAGAAAATCAGAGGTGCCTGGGATGATTCTGGTAGACAGTGTTGCTTCAACAGTCAGATTTTTGAACGGACTTCTTGGGTAACTGTAACAGTTCAGAATCAAACATAACAAATAAAAATATACACTGTACACTCAAAGAGTGGAACTCAACTTTTTAAAAACTGTTACATTAATCATTAATTTTTTTCGAGACAGGGTTTCTCTATGGCTGTGGAGCCTGTCCCGGAACTAGCTCTTGTAGACCTAGTCTCGAACTCACAGAGATCCGCCTGCCTCTGCCTCCCGAGTGCTGGGATTAAAGGTGTGCGCCACCACCGCCCGGCATAATTATTAGTTATTATTTTGTTGTTGTTGTGTGCATACGTCCCCAGGAGGCCAGAGAACAACTTTCGGGAGCTGGTTCTCCTTCTCCACTGGTCTTGGGGACCAAACTCAGGTTGTCAGGATGGCGCAACAAGCACCTTTACTCACGGAGCCATTTCACTGCTCCTCCACTCTGAACCCAGGCCTTCGCTCCACCTCCTCCTGTGAACACCAGCATCCTTCAGTGCTCTTTGTAAGAGAACACCCCAGGAGTGTCAAGCGGGTACACAGCTTCTCAGACAACATTTTCCAGACTACCTAGGTTTGGCCAGGGTAGCTAAATTCCTTCCAGTGTGGTAAGGCTAGAAGGGGTATGTTGTATCACCACAGTGATTGCTTAAAAGGAAATTGCTTGTTGCTAGTATCTTCCATCTTGTTCCCCTTTTCCCAGGCTAGAGCAAGCAGGTAAGGGTGACCCAGAGCAAAGACCCAGCTTGACATGAATTTTGCCATCTTGGTCATAACTGCCAGATGACCCTAACACAAATCCCAAACCCTACAGAACATGTTAATAGTATTATCATCATCATCATCATCATCATCATCATCATCATCATCATTATTTGCTGTGGAACAATCCTTTTCTACACTATGAATATGTCTTACTTTCGTGGGTTAATAAAAGTTGACAGGCCAACAGCTGGGCAGGAAGTTAGGCAGGAAAAATGAAAATGATGGGAAGAAGGAGGGTGGGGTCGGGACACCAGCCAGTTACCCAGAAAGCAAGACATGCTAGAGGACAGGTAAAGCCATAAGCCACATGGCAGTACATAGAGTAATAGAAATGGGTTAATTTAAATGTAAAAGTTAGCTAGTAACAAGCCTGAGCTATCGACCGAGCATTTACAGGTAATATTCAGTCTCTAAGTCTGTTATTTGGGAGTGGGTGGTCAGGACAGGAAATGTCCATTTATAATTGTTATTATTATTATTACTACTATTATAGAAAAGCTAGGTACATTCCAATTTGCCATGTGCCACCTTTTCCTAGCTTAGAACATAAACCCCTTCCTCTTACCTTGGGGCACAGAGGCACTATTGTCTGGTCGCTACCTAACAAACCCTTCTGCCAATAAATCCTTAATACATGTTACAGTCTGTGAAATCCTGGAATTGCCAGCCTCTTTGTTCTTCAATACCTTCCGCCCTGGCAGCCAGTTTCTATAATAGTCTTTGGTTTTTCTAAAAAAAAGAGAGAGAGAGAGAGAGAGAGAGAGAAATCCAGCTTCAATCAAAGACACGAGAGCCTCACGCTGTGGAGTAGCAGGACAGTAGGATGTTTGTGTGGGGCAAAGCTACGCTACAGGACACAAGGGTTACTCTGGTGTGGGCTTCGGCTGTTAAACCGAACAAAACGAACTACCTTGTTGGAGTCCCTGCACTTGGTGCCAGACTTACACAACCATCACCTTTATGAATTAAGCCATCTTTCTAGGCCCCTTATTCTTGATTTTTAATGATTTTCCCAAGGCTGGGCTTACAGACAGTTTTCAATTTGTGTTTAAAAGACCATTTCTTGGACGTGCAGTTTTTGGAATGCAAGACCTTTTTGTTTGTTTTTTATCGAGACAGAGTTTCTCTGTGTCGCCTTGGCTGTCTTGGAACTTGCCCTGTAAATCAGTCGGGCCTCCCGAGTGCACAACAACCACCACCACCTGGAGCTTTTTTGTTGTTTTTTTTAAGACAGAGTTTCTTGCTGAGAATGAGGGTGCACACCTCTAATTCCAGTACTCAGGAGGCAGAGACAGACACAGATCTCTGTGAGTTCGAGGTCAGATTAGCCCACACAGTGAGTTCCTAGACAGTCAGGGCTACATAGTAAGACCCTGTCTCCAATACAAAACCAAAACAAAAGACAAGGTCTCAGGCAGCCAGGCTGGTCTGGACCTCACTAAGTAACCAGAGATGACCTTGAACTTCTGATCCTCCTGCACCTGAGGTGCTGGAGTGGAACCCAAGACTTCGAGGAAGCTACACAAGCACTCCACCGACAGAACCACACTCCCAGCCACAGCCAAGCTGTGTCTGTCCTCCCTGAAGGATGGACGGTGTTCCCGCGTTTCCAGGCAGCAGCGGGGGAGTCACTCACGTGCACACTCTGTTGCTTGGCTCTCACATCGTCCAGTGCTCGGGTTGCCCCGCTGATGTGGCTGTGCATGATGGAGAGTTTATGCCGCAGTTTGTTCTGCAGAGGAAACACACAGGGTGAGAGAGCCCCTCTTTAGCCTCCAAGCCCCCCACGCTGGGGGCCATCCTCACCAACCATCCCGCTGGTATATCTGCCTACCCCGGGCTTCTTGTATTTGGTGCCCCCCTTTATCCCTTTAGGCAGACAATACAGAAACATCAAGACTTGGAACCACAATGACTGTTCGAAATCCCCTTCCCAGCTATGTGTCTTCAGCCTGTTTCCTTGGCTCTGAACAGATACCACTGTGTCTGCCTACACGGGCTATCGGGAAGACGAACCAACACAAGATCCATGTTCAGAGCATGGCCTGGATCAGCCTAAAGCCATACTAAATGTTGGCTTCTATTCCAACACACTTCATTCGCAACTACTCATTTTACAGCTCATGAAATCCAAGCAAGGGAAATAATGGTGAGCGGCCACGCTCACAGAGACAGAATGATCTGGAACAGCTGCTTCTGTGATGGCGGGTGAGGTCACTCGCCCTACCACAGCAAACACCCATGAAAGCAGACAAAATGTCAAAGGAAAGGTCCACTCAAGACACTGGAGAGCTAACAAAGCAACTGAGTTTCCAGGAGAACAGAACCCAGCGAAGAAGCCCAACACTCAAGACTACCATCCTCAGAGGTGCCTTCGAACTGCTGAAGGAAGCTAGGCGAGGTTTGGTCCGCTCCAGCAAGGCAGGGACAAATATCAAACTGTACTTGGCCACCTCAGGCTGAGGCCACGGAATGCTGGGAATCAGGATAAGCTGGTCAACCAGGCTTGAAACCGCTAAGCTGATTCAAAACCACCTTCAGAAGCAACGGTCTCCTGTGTCCCTGCTAAGATGGAATGGTGGCAATTTAGAGATGAGAAGGAATGCTCCACTGCCACAATGAGGGCTGTTAGGAAGTGCTTACACGCGCCAGGCACCCTCCTAGAACCTGACATCTACCAACTTTTTAAAGCGAAGTGCAGTGCCTAGAAGGGACATTGGAGACACGGAGGACACGGATGACTCGCCCAAGGCCACACTGTTAGTAATTGGTACAGCTAAAGTTCTGGTACTAAACGTATAGACTATATAAACTGTGTATGCTAGGAATTTCTAGGAAAACAAACAAACATTTTCTTCCCCTAACCAGCTAGCTCAACACACTCTCGCCCTCTCCTCTACTTTCCTGCTTCCTCTATTCCATCAGAGTCGCCTGGAGCTGAACCTGACCTGGAGGCTGGATTTCAACCAGCCTCTGTCACATGCAAGGGCTGGATACAGAGATCAAGGCTGCGCAGACTCTAGCCAGAAAGCCCAGGTCAGTGATATTTGACTCAGCCTCGGTGACACGGCCCTTCCCCCGGGCCTCCAACAGTGGCCGAGATAGATTTGGGTCAAAGGACAAACCCAGGCAGATCCTGCCTCCCTCCCGCAAGCTGGAAGACACTTGAGAACACTAGCACCTGGTTCACTTCCAGAACTGCCCTGGGAGCCCTCCCTGCTGAAAGGGTTACCCACTATTAATCAAACCAAATAACAGTTCCCTCACTGTGGATGGGGGGTCCACTCCACCCCACTCCAAACCAAAGAGAAGCAAGTCAAGGATTTAGGGGGTGATAACAGAACACTGGCCAAGGATTAAAAAAAAAAAAAAAAAAAAAAACACACTTTGAAACTGGGTCCTCCACATGGGAGAGAATGGAATCCTGAGTCTGCATCCCCAAACTAGCAGCCAAGATACTCAAGACAGTAGCAGTGCTTGCTTGTCAGGGGCTGGCACTGAAATACTAGTAGTAGCAGCTGGGTCAAAAAAGACATGGGCATAAGATTGGCAGGGAAATCTGCTACCAGGATGAAAAAGACAGCGGGAATGGCCACTCGCTCCAGCTCTAGACAGAAAGGCTGAAAGAGAACAGAGGCTCAGGTCAGGCTAGGCAGGCCCTCCTGCCCTGGGGAATAGGTGCTTCTAAAAGCGCCCTCCTTGGAAGCCAGGTTACTGCAGGGATCACTGGCAAGTCCTCTGGACTGAGACAGAGACCGCTAGGACAGTGTGCCCTGTCCGTGGCTTTCCCAGAGCATGGGGTGCCTCATCTACACAGGCCCAATAACAAAATGGTAGCGACCAATATGGAGATTTTGTAGAAAATTGTTTTTCCATAGGCTGCCTTATCTACTGTCTCTCTTATTTTTATGGTGTTTTTCCCTTAATTCTTATTATATTTATGTATGTGTGTGTGTCCACCCACACACGTGATCACATGCAGATGGATGTCAAGTCAAAGGACAATTTGCTGGAGTTGGTTCTCTTCCTACCATATAGGTCCCAGGGATCAAACTCGGGTCATAGCTTTGGTGACAAGTTCCTTTACCAGCTAAGCAATCTCGACATTTGTTTGTTGTTTTGAGACAGTCTCACCCTGGAGCTGGCCTCGAACTCACGATGATCTCCCTGCTTATGCCTCCCACGTGCTGAAATCACAGACATGAGGAACCATGCCACCTGCACCCCACGTTCACTATACCTGAGACTAGCACCACCATGTCCCCCATTTTATCATTTTGTGCCTGAAAGCTACGAGCGGAGTCAGGGTTTGAACCCAGATCTTGGCATTGAATATGGGAGGAGACTCCTGAGCACCCAGCCTTCCGATACTGAATTCTGCCTCCGAAGTACTTCCCAGGAGGCCCAACCTACCCAGAGATCCGCAGTGACTTGCCTTAAGCCAAACAGCTAGCTCTGTGGGGCAAAGCAGAACCCCAGGTTCCAAAGGCTAAGCATACTTTCTTCTAGAACAGGTAGAATCAAAGGTGTCCATACCCACAAAAAGGATGTCCATACCCACACGGGCGGGGGGGGGGGGGTACCGAGGAGGTGAACTCAAAAGATGTACCTTTAGGTCCAGCTGCCAAGCTTCAAAGGGAAAACATCTAGAGGAACCTGGCTAAGCCCCAGACAAAGTCAGGAAAGGGCTGTGGTAAAAGGGAGCAGAGCTGGGATCCCATTCCTGGCACCAATGCGAAACCTGCCAACCTCACCCAGGCTTACGATTCCGTTCACAACACTGGGACAGGTCTCAACTTCCCAGCCATTTAGTGAAACGAGATCAGATCACACTTTGACAAATGTGGTAGAGGGGCAGCTTCTGCTGAGTCCACAGGGCGAAGAGAGGAGCCTCTAAATCATCAAAACCCTGGAAGGCCCTCAGGAACTCTGACTCCCCCCCTCTCCTGTCTTTATCAAGGTGGACCTAGATCCAGAAGCTAAATCCCTGCTCAATTTCACACAGCAAGAATGACTACACTAGCCGGGCATGGTAGGACATGCCTGTAGTCCCAGCATTTGGGAAGCAGAAGCAGGAGGGATTTCTGAGTTTGAAGCCAGCCTGGTCTACAGAGTGAGTTCCAGGGCAGCCAGGACTAGGTAATAGTGAGACCCTGTCTCAAAAAGAAAAAGAAAAAGAAAAAAGATGGGCTACACCACAGCGCAACAGATCACATGCAGGGGTTCCTCAGGCTCTGCCCACATTCCCTGTCCATTAGAACCCTCCGGATCAACACAGGCTTCTCCGTCCGGATCAACACAGGCTTCTGCCTACAGCCTGCAAGAACGCTCACGCTCCTGAACTCAACAGATGTGGACACCAGTCTGGTGGTCTACAGGGGAACGAGAAACCAGAACGGTGAGTCTGAGCAGCTTGTTTCCCAGCTCTGATTGTTTGGACAATTACTGCCTTAGCACCGCGAAGCTAATCTCTCTGGGACTGTTTTCCTGAACTGTGGAAGGAACTAGCACACAGTTCTTACATGCTGCCAGGAACTGGGGGTGTGGGAAGTGGGAGGGAGGGTGGAGGAAGGTAAACCCCAGGGCTCATAGTCAATATTCAAAACTACTAAACTCCACTGGAAAATCTCAGGTTTGGGGGCAGGCAGAGGGTGCCTCCAGTTGTCTGCTATGTAAAATAGACACGAGAGGACTGGAGAAAGCAGGCAATGGATAAGCGGAAGGCTATACAACCTCCTGGCTCTCTGATTTGCCAGTGGGGCTGGCCCTCTACTGCCCAACTTACAGAGAGTGGCCTTAGGAGCCTAGAGCCATGAAGTCGTGTGAAGAGGTGGATCTCTGGCTCAGTAAAGCCTATCTCCTCCGGCAATCCACTGTACTAGATACCCAGGATGGGCCCTCTCCACAATTTAGCTGGCCCGGGACGTCCTCTATATCCGCACCAGCCATTCCCTACCTCCAGGTCGGCGCTGGCCTGGCTTAAGGGTGTTGGGGAGCAGGTCTTGTGCTCTACCAGGCAGATATGGCAGATGCACTCGCCATGCTCCGGGCAAAACAATTCCCGAAGGCGGTTGTGTTGGGGACATTTGCGGCGCAGCAGGTCACGGACGGGTGGCTGCAAGGGGTGGTCCAGGAAGGCGGGACTGTCGAAGTGCGGTCTCAGGTGCTCCTGGCAGAAAGAGGCCATGCACACGAGGCACGTCTTCACTGCGAACTCCTTCAGGCAGTGGTCACAGGCCACCTGGGTGGCTGAGCTGGAAGTGGCGGAGCGGGCAGGGGGCGTCCAGTCGTCCACGGGCGCCCGCGCCTGATCGGCTTGCAGGAACTGCTCCACCACTGCGCACAGCACCGTGTTCTTGTGCAGCTGCGGGCGCACCTGGTACACGGTGCGGCACTGCGGGCACCGGTACGGCGGGCCCTGGACGACCCACGTCTCATCCAGGCACGACCTGCAGAAGTTGTGGCCGCAAGGAGTGGTGACGGGCTCCTTGAAGGGCTCCAGGCAGATGGAGCACGACAGCTCCTCGGCCAGAGGAACCAGCTCGGCCATCGCGCTCCTGGGGGCACCCGACGGGACGCGCTGGGACAGCGGCAGACACCACCGCGCGGTGCTCAGAGAGCAGCGAAGGAATCGAAACTGAACAGGAGGGGCGGCGCCCTGGGCTTTCAGGAAGTCACGTGGGTCCCTGGAGGCGGGGGCGGGCTTAAGGCCTCTGGGCTGGTACTGGGAGCCGAAGGTGGGGCGACAGGCAGAGTCCTGACGGCCCCCAGCGACCCGAGCAGCCGCAGCACGACCACCAGGTGCCTTTTCAGGGTCACTCAGCAGATGAACTGTGGCAGTTGGGGTATTCCTACCCTCCTAGTCAGGGCCCGTGTCCTCCCAGAGTGCAGCACCACTTTGGAGAATATTCGTCCGTGCTCTGGGTGTCCCAACCGCCCCTCCAAAATAAGACAGGTCTTATTGTCCTCATTAAAGCAAGACAGAATAAAATACGTAGACGCAGAACACAATGACTTGTGCCTGTAATTCCATCTCTTGGAAAGCTGAGGCAGAAGGATTGCCACGAGTTCGATGCCAGCCTAGGTTACAGAGTGAGTGACTGTCTCAACATCTAAAGCAGGGTTGAGGAAATGCCTGGGTGGGAGGACGTGCAGGATAAGGCCACGGGGCCGAAATCCAGTTACTTAACCCTGGTTAAGACCTTACAAAATTGTCTTTCTGGGTCTGGGTTACCTACCTCAAAGTGATATTTTCTAGCTCCATCCGTTTGCCTGCAAAATTCAAGATGGTGTTGTTTTTTTTTCTGCTGTGTGGTACTCCATTGTGTAAATGTACCAGATTTTAGTTATCTATTCTTCAGTCGAAGGGCATTTAGGTTGTTTCCAGGTTCTGGCTATGACAAACAAAGCTGCTATGAACATAGTTGAGCACACGTTCTTGTGGCACGATTGTGCATCCTTTGGATATATACCCAAAAGTGGTATCACTGGGTCTTGAGGAATGTTGTTTCCTAATTTTCTGAGAAATCGCCACACTGACATCCAAAGGGGTTGTACCAGCTTGCATTCCCACCAGAAATGCAATAGTAGTTTTTAAACATAAAGCAAAGAAAACCAGCCCACAAATCATAGACAACAATGAGGACCCTAAGAGAGACATATATAGATCTAATCTACATGGGAAGTATAAAAAAAAAACAAGATCTTCTGAGTAAATTGGGAGCATGGGGACCTTGGGAGAGGATTGAAAAGAAGGGGAAAGGCAGGGAGGGGAACAGAGAAAAATGTAGAGCTCAATAAAAAAAAAATTTTTAAAAAAGACTCCACAAAATTATCCACAGGGCTCCCCACCCACGCACACAGACCAAACACATAATAATTTAAGGAAAACAAAAACAACAAAACACAATTATATGGAAAGTAAGTGACTGCCCTTTACTCTCTTTCCTTTCTCCTCCCTCCAGCCGCTCCTTTTCCCACTTCCCCAGTCCTGCGCTCTGACTGCCACCACACAAGCCCTAAAGGCAGGAGCCACACTCAGATTTGGCAATTTCATTCCTTTGATGGTACACGACCTTTTTTGAAAAGAATACTATTATCACAAAGTTGGTGTTACACCCTGTGTCTCAATCAGCTCCAGTCACCGGTCCTCAAGACAAGTAAAAGCCCCAAATTAAAAGAGGATGGCAGCAGAGGGTTTATTTATTCACTGAGGCCACAAAGAGACCCAACAAACTCCTCAAGTCCACCTTCCGGGTTCTGAAATGAGATCAAAAGTAAAAGAGAAGGCAAAAACATGCACCCCTAAGCAGCTCCAGTCCACGTCTGGTCCAGCCCACTGACCATCACTTGTCTGGGCTTCAGTCTCCGAAAGTTGACCTGACAAGCTGTTTAAAATCTCTTTCCAGGAGACAAGTCCTATCTCAGGTTTCTACCAATGAGATTCTGCGGGACCTCTGATTTCTTTGGGGTCCATTGTCTCAATAATTTGATAGACTGAGAGATACAAGGGTCTCTTTACATCTCTTTACTCTTCCAGATTGGTTTCAGTGTTTCCAAACTGGGCAGGGTAGGGCACACCTATAATCCCAGAACTCTCTCTAGGGAGACTGAAGTAGGAGGATCTAAAGTTCAAGGCCAGCCTTGGCTACACAGCAAGACCCCCCCCCCCCTTTTTTTTTAAAGTAATAAGAGGATATATATAGTTTAGTGGTAGCGCCCCTTGCCTAGCAAGTGTGAGGCTCCAAGTTCAATTTTCAGTATTAAAAAAAAATATAGCAGTTTTGACTGACCGGGGATTCGAGGACTCCCAAATCTAACAAATGTCTTCTCTCTTATGTGTGCACACACAATATTGGAGCTTCTAACTTTTTGTTTCCCTCAAAATCATTCATTTAGGCTTACTTTGTTTTTAGTTCTGTGGGTCCCCCATTCTGGGCGGAGTGCAGAACATGTGGGTGGGTGGACAGGAGGCTACACGTGTTCTTTGGGAAATTCGATGGGGGCAGACAGACGCTTTTGGAGGAATTATGGGAGTTTACCTTGGATGACAAGGCTCAGCAGCCATGATGACAAGGTAAATATCCCACGGTATCTAACAGCCACTGTCTATGAGGCGCCTACTGTGTGTATATTATTGAAAAAATCCTTACAAAGCCCTACGAGTCAGTGTCCTAGGTCCATTTTTTACTGGTGAAGGTCAAGATGCTGTCACAAACAGAGCTGGGACTCGAGCTTGGGACTGCTGAACTCAATATTCTAAGTTCCCCTGATTTACCACACAGGCTTCTACTTCCCAGGACCTATTGTCCCATCTACTCTCCTTCATATTTTGGTGGTCATTGTCTGCATGGAAAAAGAAGACGAAAGGATGCTGGGGTGAGACGCTGAGACCCCCCTTACGATAACCTTCAAAGGAGATAAAATCGTCCCTTGTTACAGAGAAAACAAGCAGGCTCAGAGAACCTGAGCAATACAGCTAAGACAATGGGCGCTGGCACGGGGCCTATCTGCTTCCAGAAGGCAAATATTTCCTACTACAAAATGCTTCCTCCCGAGGGAGGTGCAAAGCGGCTTCCAGGAAACAAACACTAGAAAATCCACCCCTAACCTAGTTTTCATGGGTGGAGGAGTGTGGTGAATCATGGCAGAATGTGGAATTCTCTATCTAGGCTTGTGGTTGGGAAAGGCTGATTGAAGATCACTGGGAGAGCCATACTCCATGTTGATCAAATTCCAAGGGGGAGAGCGTCACGGAGACCTCCACGACAGGCATGCATGCCACAAAGCGAGAGCTGAAAGGGTAGGGGCCAACCAGTTCTCCTTCTAACACAGTTAGCAGTGAAGAGGTGTGTCCCGAGAGGCCAGCTCCTCTTGAGGGCATGGATTTCTTATCCGTGAAGCTGGGAGAGCCCGAACGTTTTAGTACAGATGACGTATGTGTGTAAACACATCGGATGTAGGCGGTGATGAGGACCCTGAACTGTTAACCTTTACAAAGGGCTGATGGCAGGCCAGGGACTGCTCCTGGCTGATAGGGTGTGTTTGTTTACCATCATCACTGGTATCTTCAGTCCGGCAATGTTCCAAAGTCAAATGGGACCCAGGTGGTCAAGAGGGAACTATATGGCCCCATCCAGGTAATGCCTAGCAACCATGTTAGGATCCCTGCTCTGTATCTGGAGGTTGGGGAAAGCAGGTGAAGAAGCCTCATTCGCCTGCAAATACAACTTCGTTATTCCCACCAGCGCAGTCCTTGTGAAGCGTCAGCTGTGGTTTGAACACGCACCTTTGACTCCTCGAACCCTTGTGAAGGATGTTGAGAGTCTGGGGATGTCGCTTAGTGCTAGAATGTGGAGTTAACATGATGAAAGGTTAAGTGTGGGGGGGGGGGGGAATGACAGTCAGAGATGTCTAAATGGCAAAGATGATACAGACCTATTGTGAAATAGTCACAGAACAGACTGAGCTCTGAATGGGGGAGAGGGAGGTCCCTGAATCTTAGGTCTCTGGGCTTAGTTTTTCCTTAAATGTGCCGTCATGTCCATGTCCCCAAAACATTTAAAAACAAACTCCCACCCCCCACCCCCAGATTTTGAAAAAGAAACTCTCATTGTATAGCCCAGGCTGGCCTCCAATTCTTCCTGCTTCCACCAAAGTTATTCCTAACCAAAAAAATAAGTGTAAAGCGTTCCAACCAAGCTCTTGTTTTATTCCCAAACTGTGATGTTTTGATCGCGGAACTCTCATTCGCTTGGTCAACACAGGGCTGCCTTTTCTACCTTACCTGGTGAGTGGGACGAGTCGCACAAATTGAATGTAAACACACACTCCTGGAACAACCAAAAGGCATGAAGTATTACCGTTTTATATATTGCTGGGTTTGATTTGCTAATCTTTGTCTTTAAATTTTTAACATGTGTGTGTGTATATGCTCATACGAGTGTGTCCTTGTTACAGCATGAGCAGGCCACAGCATGCGTGCAAAGGTCAGAGAACAACTTGAGGGAGAAGGTTCTCCTCTTTGACCATGTGGATCCCATGGATAGAACTCAAGTTGTCAGGCATGGCTGCAATCACCTTTACCTGATGAAAAATCTTACAGGCCCATTTTTCTTTCTTTCTTTTTCTCTTTCTTTCTCTTTTTCTTTTCTCTCTCCCTCTCTCTCTTTCTCCCCCTCCTCTTCTTCCTTCCTCCTCTCTCTCCTTGAACACCTGATCCTCCTGCCTTCACCTCCAAAGTACTAATTACAGACATGTATCACCACGCCCCGTTATGGGGGTTGGGGATGTAACCTAGGTCTTTGTATGTTTTAGGCAAGCACTAGATTGAACTACAACCACAGTCAGGATTTGCTAATATTTTTACAGATGTGGTGTTAGCATCTCATCATGGTGATGAAATACAAGAGATGACAGAATAACAGGAAAGGGTGAACCTCGACTCCTTTGTTCGGGGTTCTACTTCATGATCAGTTGGTCCCTTCGCTTTGAATCTGTGGTGTAGAAGCACGTTGTGTCAGGAATGCCTGGCAGAGAGCCTGTCAGGATAGAGCACCTTCCCTCAGTGACAGCAGGCCTTCAAAAGTTCCCGCCTCTCAACAGTGCCACCTTGTGGATGTAAACCTTTAACACATGGGCA